ATCTATCTATCTATCTTTTATCTATCTATCTCTATCTCTCCCTCTCTCTTCTCTCTTTCTCTTCTCTCCCCCCCCTCTCTCTCTCTCCCCTCTCTCTCTCTTTCTCTCCCTCTCTCTCTCTTTCTCTCCCTCCCTCCCTCCCTCCCCTCCCCTCCACTCCCCTCTCCTCCCCTCCCTCCCCTCCCCTCCCCCTCCCCTCCTCCATCTCTCTTCCTTTCTCTCTTTCTCTTTTTCTCTTTCTCTCTAAAGAAAACGAACACATCAAGTGGCGTCAGGCACCTAATCAACTTATTGAATACCTGCCTCATTTGCGGTGCAACCCCCCCCTCCCTCCCCCTCTCCCTTTCTCTCTCTCTCTCTCTCTCTCTCTCTCTCTCTCTCTCTCTCTCTCTCTCTCTCTCTCTCTCTCTCTCTTCTCTCTCTCTCTCTCTCTCTCTCTCCTCTTTTCCTTTCTCTCCTAGATATATGAGCTGATGACGTCATCGCTCAGCCATGCATTAGGAGAGAGAGAGAGATTCATTTATCCACAGATAAAAAAAAAAAATGAGATTTGCTTTTGGGTGATTTTAGGCCGTCAAATGATTTTTTTTCTTTTTTTTATGGTAGGTTATACGAATTTTGCCCCTATTTTTGTATAGTATTTTGTTTTCTTTAATTCTGGTATTTTAAAGATTGCTTTGGTTGACGCCCTTTTCCCTCCCCTACCCCCCCCCTTCCCTTCCCTCCTCCCATCCCCCCTCCCCTCCCTCCCCTCCCCTCCCTCTCCCCCTCCCCTCCCCTCCCCTAAATCTCCCCCTCCCCTCCCTTCCTCCCTTCCTTCCTTCCTCCTTCCTCCTTCCTCCTACCCCTACCTTACTCCTCCCCTCACCCCCTACCTATCCCCCCTCCCCTTCCCCTCCCCTCCCCTAATCTGCCCCTACCCCTCACAGGTAGATAGGTGCCCTCAGGTTGCTTGCTTTGTTGGGGGGGGGACGAGCTAACAGCATAAAGCACAGTTGATGCCATATTTGTGCTGGGACTTTATTCTCTCCCTCTCTCTCTTCCTCTTTCTTTTCTTTCTCTCTCTCTCTTCTCTTCCTTTTTCATCTCTTCTCATCCCTTGTCTTCGCTTATTTTCTCTCCTGGTCTCTTCTCTTTTCTCTCTTCTTTCCTCTCCTTTCTTTTTTCTCCTGTGCATTTTCTCTCATAGGGACAACAGTACCGTGAAAATAATAATGGTAATGATAACAAGAACAATGATAATAATAATAATAATAATAATAATAATGATATATGATATGATAATGAATGATGATGATAATGATATTGATAATGATGATAATAATAAATAATAATTAATAATGATAATAATAATAGCTAACATTAACATTAATAACTTGATAGTAATAGTAATAGAAATAACCGTGACAACAATTATATTGATTGCAATGACTCAGCAGAAACAATCACACCAGTAGCTAATTGCAGCGAAAGCGGGCATTGCGCGCCGCCCGACCTTACCTGGTAACAATCGTTTTTATATCACTGCCATCCCCGTGCCATGACTCATATCAGCGAAGCGTGTCGTTGTAAACATATTTCGTGTCGATATATACAGATTTTGAGCTCGTTACAGATAAGAAAATGGGGAACGCGAGATCTCGATACGATTGGTGTGTAAAAAGGGGTTCTTTAAAAAAAAAAAAGGGGGGGGAAAGAAGGTATAATTGCGTGACTAAACATGGCGCGTCGGTCGTATATCAGGGTTGCGAAATCGAGTTTTGAAAATCCGAAATAGTCTAGACTCCTTTTTCATTCGCTTCAGATTCATCATATTGATTGCCAATATAAAAAAAGAGGGTTTTTGAGGAGGGTAAATGATAATATATATATGTATTCACAAAAAGGAGGATAGGCGAAAAGAAGATTGATTGATAGGTAATCGTGATAAATCGCTGTGACAGACAGTAGCTGTTATTATCACCGCTATCGGGCTGCCATGGGCTGGCTTCATTTTTCACGGGGTTATTATTATTCTATTATCTACTGTTGTTCTCCTTCTGGTATCTTTGTTGTTGTTGTTTGTTATAGGACTTTTGCTTGCATTACTCGTGTTATTTGGATGCTCAGTGCCAACAGGTGGTGGCAAGAACACCGAAGAAAATGGGTTATTAACGTATTTTAATAATCTTGATTTTCATACCTTTTTATACGAGTAAAAGAGAGAGAGGAGGGGGGCAGAGAGAAAGAGAGAAGAAAGAAAGAGAAATAAGGAAACATAAAAGCACGGGTTAAAAGCGAGAAGTTCCGGGGATAAAGACAAGGGAGAAGGGGGAAGAGGAAGAGAGGGAGAAGAGAGAGGAGGAGGGCGAGGAGACAGAGAGAGGGAGAGTGGAGGGAGGAGGCAGGAGGAGGGCGGAGGGAGAGAGGAGGAGGAGGAGGGTGGGGGGTTACGGCTCATTCATTAGGCCTTGAAGGAGTGGCGCCGCGACGTCGGGCCCGGAGCAACACTGCCGGACACCTTCGCGGCCATTACCGGCACAAAAGGTAGATGAGTCCTGCCGCCGCCGCTCTCTCTCTCTCTCTCTCTCTCTCTCTCTTCTCTTCTTCTCTCTCTCTCTCTCTCTCTCTTCTCTCTCTCTCTCTACCTCTTCTCTTCTTCTTCTCTCTTCTCTGCTCTCTTTTCTCTTCTCTCTCTTTCTTTTTCCGTCTCTTCTCCTTTTCCGTGTCCTTCTCAACTTCTCTTATTTTCTGTCTGTATCTCCCTTCCTACCCCCTCTCTCTCCCTCTCCCTTTCCCTTTTCTCCATCCTCCCGTCTCTATCTATCTACTTCTCCCTCCCTCCCTCTCCTCTCCACTCCCTCCCTCCCTCTCCCTCCCCCTCCCTCCCTCTCAATCTCCCTCCTCCTCTCTCTCTCCCTCTCTCCTCCCTCCCTCTCCATCTCCTCTCTCTCTCCCTCCCTCCTCTCTCCTCTCCTCTCTCTCTCTCTACTTATCTCCCCTCTCCTCTCATTTGCTGTCCGCCGCCACCAACGTCGTCGCGGAAACGGAGCAGACTTGTGGGAAGTTTTCTGTGCGTGCGTGCGTGCGTGCGTGCGATACTATTGTTCGAACGTGTTTTTATGAACTCTATTTTTTGTGTTTTTAACTTCTCTACTTTTTTTAGCTCTCTGTTTCTGTTTCTTTTCTCTCTTTTCCTTCTCTTTTTTTCTTTCTTCTCTCTTTTCATCTCCCTTATTCTTCTTTTCCCTCTTACTCTTCCTTTCCTCTCTTCTCGCCTACTCCCTTCCTCTCTTACTCCCATGGAAAGACCTAAAAAAATGATGATAAAGATAAAACGAAAGAGAAAAGCACCCCCCCTCCTCCCCCCCCCCACTGCCGCCCCTGCAAAGACAGTTCACAGAGGCCGGGGTTCGGTGGGTATAGGGTAGGGCCCGGGTGGGTGGGGTGGCGCAGGGGGTGGAGTTGCGTGTGGCAAGATACCGTGTAATTGGTATGAGCGAGGTAGGTGTGGTATTTTGGGGAGCAGCGACCAGTGTTTACCTTTTATGATCGCTAAACCCTGGCGCCATGGACTGCTTTTCTTTGCAGCGACGGGACCGACTAACTGGTTTTCGAAGTCGTCCTCACACACACGCATACGCACAAACACACACACACACACGCGCGCGCCGACACACACACACACACGTACACGTACACGGACATACGTACGTACATACCCTCGGAGGGAGATTTTGTCTGCGCTCTGGTTGTGTTGTAAAAGGATGCTTGCTTGCTTGCTTGCTTGCTTGGGTTGATTGGCTTGATTGTTGCTGTTTTTTGTTTGTTTGATTTTGTTTTTTGTTGTTGATTTGTGTCCTGGTTTTATTGTTCGTGTTTTTTTATTTTTTTATTTACGAGGGTAATGATACAAAGTTGTTTTTATGTCTCAACTTGCCATTATTGTTTTGTCTTCGTTGTATTTGTCTGGTGGCTTGTCTCTCCATTTTTGGTTGCTCATGGGGGAGGAGGAGGGGTGGAGGGGAGCCGATACAAGGGACAGAATACCGCCAAAAAAAAAGGGGAAGAGACGGAGAGATGGAGAACAAGAACCTAAAGGTGAATAGGACCCCTCGTTGGGGGTGGCGGAGGGGGGTGGGGGTGTCGCAACGAGGGCCTCACACCAGCACCAACACCGTCATCTGCAACACCAGCACCAACGCCATTTAACAGCTCCAACAGTCAAAGCAACAGCGGCAACGGAACCCGCCAAGGTTTGACTACATCCCCCCTCCCCCCCTCTCCCTCCCTCCCTCCCTTCGTCGCATTTACCTTGGCGTAGCTTCCTGTAGGGGGATGCTGCTCTGTGCCATGATGAAGGGAGTTATTGAGGCAAGGAGGAAGGGAGGAAGGAAGGAGGAGTTATTGAGCAAGGAGGAGGAGGAGTTTAGTAGGCAAGGGAGAGACAAATAGGGAGGGAGTTTAGCGAGGCAAGAAGGGAGAGGGAGAGGGAGGGAGTGAAGCAAAGGGAGGGAGGAATGAGTCAAGGAGGGTATGAGGAAGTTCGTAAATCAAGGAGGGAGGGAAGTAGGTAAGTACAGAGGCAGATAGGAATGGAGGGAAGGAATCAGGTAGGAACAGCTAGGAGGAAGAGAGGGAAGCAGGTAGGTACGAAGGAGGAAGGAAGAAGGAAGAAAGGAGGGAAGTAGATATAGGTAGAGAGGCAAGAAGTGAGGTAGGGAGGGGAGTCGAGAGGTGGAGGCAAGAGTGAGAGAGCGAGGGAGGGAGGGAGTGGGGAAGGGAGCCGAGAGGGGGTGTGGAGGCCCGGCGGGAGGTAGGTAGGAGGAAGGGGGAGGGGGGTCGAGAGGGGGTGTGGGAGCCCGGCGGAGGTAGGTAGGGAGGAAGGGGGAGGGGGGTCGAGAGGGGTGTGGGAGGCCGCGGGAGAAGGGGGGGGGAGGGAGGGAGGCCCGGAGGTAAGAGGAGGAAGAAGGGCGGGCTGGAGGCGTGCGGACGGCGTTGACTCGGCCGCTCATTAGGCCTTGAGACGCGGCGCCGCTCAGTCGGGTGGCGGGGAGAGCGGCCCGCCCTCCGCACCGCTACGTGTGAAGGGCCGCCGCCGCCGCCGCTGCTGCTGCTGCTGCTCTCAGACGCCGCTCGGGACTAAACACCCGACCAAAATAAACGTACTACTCCTTTCTCCTCTCTCTCTCTCTCTCTCTCTTCTCTCTCTCTCTCTCTCTCTCTCTCTCTCTCTCTCTTCCTCTCTCTCTCTCTCTCTCTCTCTCTCTCTCTCTCTCTCTCTCTCTCTCTCTCTCTCTCTCTCTTTGGTTGAAGAATGAATAAGAAAAAAAAATATTCGGGTCTATTTGGTGAGAATCTACTTACGTGTATGTTTATGCATTCGTTTGTGTGTCGTCGAGGCGGTTGGCGAGTGGTGTCGTTTCTTCTCCCATTTTTTTTCTTTTACTTCTTTCTCGAGAGGTTAAAAAAAGGTCAGGGTTTGAGACGCTGTCCTTGCCACGTTAATGTCGGCCTGACTGCCACTGCTCCGTCACCCGCTGGGGCCCTCGGTACTATGGAGCGCTTGCAGAATGTCGTGTCCTGTGTATTCTTTTTTCTCTATTCGCTTATTTGTTTTCGTTTTGTTCCTCGCTTTCTCTTTCTCTTTTTTGTTGTTTGTGTCTTCATTCGTTTTGGAGGAATTTGTGGATTCTCGCGATGCCTTGCTAGTCTGCGAGGTATGCGCTCTGCTGCAAGCGGGTCATATCAAAGCATTCGGATCTTGGTTTTTTCTCGCAATCTCATTTTGCTCCTCCGCCTCCGCCGTGTTCATCCTCCTCCTCCTCCTCTTCTCCTTCTCTCCTCCTCCTCCTTCTTCTCCCTCTCCTCCTCCTCCTTCTTCTCCTTCTCCTCTCCTTCTTCTCCTTTCCTCCTCCTCCTTCTTCTCCTTCTTCTCATTCTCATTCTTCTCCTCCTCCTCCTCCCTCTCCCCCTCCCCATCCCCATCCCCATCCTCATCCTCCTACCCCTCCTCTCCCCTTCCCTCCCCTCCCCCTCCCTCCCACTTCTTACCTCTCCTACATCCTCTTCCTCCTTTTCCTTTTCCTCTTCCTCCACTTTTTGTTGCATACTGGTCTAACATCGTATCCAAACCTCCACAGAAGTTTAAAGTAAAGTTCTCGTTCTTGGTTCCAAAAATAAATCAACAAACAAACTACGAGACCTATGTTTTCTCCTTGCTTCCAGGTAAAAAAAAAAGACTACAACGTCTTTCCTTTTTCCTTCCAGGCTCCGTGATCTGGTGCCGCGTCGCGTACTGGGAGGGTCGGGAGCGTGTGGGCCGCCTGTACCCCGTCCGCAGCTCTTCCCTCAACATCATGGGCAACATACCTCACGGGGAAGGCCTGTCGCTCGCCTCCCTCGCCGCCAGCAGCCACACCTCGCCCTCGGAACAAGTCAGGAGAACCAGGGAGAAGATTGGCCTTGGTAAGTGCTCGGGAGGGTTGTTGTGACGAAGGGAAAGAGGGAGGGGGGCGTGGTAATTGGGAGGGGTAATTGTATAGGTAAATGGATGTAAAGAGTTGTCTAATAATAATTCTACATGTGTAGAATGGAATGGACTTTACATGGACATATAACCCCCTTCCCCCTGCTCCTCCCCTTTGTGCCGTGACACCCATCTAATAGTCCCTTGGCGTTGCAGGTCTGGTGCTTTACCAAGACGGCGACGGCGTGTGGCTGTACAACCGGGCGGAGATCCCGCTCTTCGTGAACTCCCCGACGCTGGACGGCGGCATCCACTGCCGCGCGGACTTCATCGTGCACAAGCTTCCCCCGGGGCATATCCTGAACATCTTCGACTACGAGAAGGCCCGCGAGTACCAGAAGCTGCCCGTCCACCCGGCGCTGCTCCACGTGGGCCCCATCGATCAGAACTCGGTGCACGTGTCCTTCGCCAAGGGATGGGGCCCCAACTACCGGCGGCAGGCCATCACGGAGTGCCCCTGCTGGCTGGAGATCCTTCTTGTGCCTGCAAGATGATGACATCATCCTCTGGCGCTTTTCCACTGCCCATCACAGTTCTGCCTGCCTGCTGTCTGCTGCTGGCTGGTCCAGCAGTACTACCAGGGGGCACACGCAGCTCAATCCGTTTGGAGCAGCAGTAGCAGCAGTTCACCAATGGAACGTGTAATGGCTGTAAATGCTGAGCGGGATATAGCAACATAACTATGGGTAGCTTTGAAGTAGTGTTGACCCAGCTAAGTAAGGCTAGAACGCGCACTGGCGCAGTCCACGCCACTGAATGTGGTGCAGTTGCAAGGAAACGCAACCGCGCCGAGACGGAGAGGCGGGAACCACAGCGAGTGTAGTCCCCGCGAGGCGACCGGCGGCTCGGGAGGAAGTGAAGCAACTGCCTGTACAGAAAATCAGCTTGGTCAGTGTTGATGACAAGATGAAGCGAGAGAGATTATTTCAGATTTGCTATTAACGGGTCAAAGATTTGTTGGACATTTGTATGTGGTTACTTTGCCAGTGAATTTGGGCACTATGTGTCAAAAGATTTTTTTTGTAATGAAATCTAGTCTGTTTGTTATTTTTGTTACTATCTCCTATCACATTTGTCTGTTTATGTTACTAATATCCTTCCGAAATAACTGTTTACAAAAAAGTTAATGATAAATGGTTGCCTTTACAAAAGCTAGAATGCATGTATGACAAAAAGAAGAAAAACAAGGAATACCATGTGAAATTTGTATGTTTCCCTTATCCAACACACATGGAGCAGAGGCTTACCTCTAACTTTTGTGAATGTGACCATGAGCTGGCATTTGTCCCTCTGAACTACATAGCTCTTGCACAGTATGTAGCCGCAAAGGCAAATGCTGAAATTATTTTTATATGAACAAAGTTAGTATGGCAGTGAAAACACTTTCATAAAGTGTCTGATGCTTAGCATATATAATCTCTGCCTCTTATATTCATAAAAAAGTGCTCTATATGCAATGTGTTCCATGAGAAGCAAGAAGAGGTATTGCTTATTAGAATTAATAAAACAAGAAAGGTCAGACAAGAATGAATTGCTTGCCTTTTGGATACAGTTCCACTTGCAGCAAAATAATGCGCTACCTAGTCTGTGCTAACTGCATGTGGGCATGCTAGCCATACATGGACCTATGCAGACTAGAGTCGATGTCCCAAAGGTGCTACGTAGGAAAAAAAGGATCTTTCACTCCGCCGAAGTACAAATGACTTCCTTTGAGAACCCTGGTGCCCTATCCTAGTATATGTCCCCTTCTGCTGTATGAGCATAGCATATCTCACAAGTCACACTCTCATCCACACCATCTTGTACTCCACTGCTATTATTTCCCTCTTCCCTCTCCCCAGTCCCCTCCTTCGCCCTTCTCCCTCATCCTCCCACTCTGCCCAGATTGCTAATATCTCCCTCTTCCCTCTCCTCAGTCTCCTCCCTCCTCCTCCCCCTGTACCCAATTTGTACAGTATGTCCCTATAATGATTTACAGACTTCCAAAGTGCCATGAAGGAATTCAAAAAGAGTTTTTTGCTTTAAGTATAATAATGCCCAATCTGTTAGTGTAATGGTAAAGTTTAGTCTTCATAGAGAGGAAAAAACTTTTAACTATATAGTGTATAGTTAAATCTGTTTTTTTTTGTTAAGTTCTCCTTTTTATACAAAGTGTTTATGTCAATTTTGCGGGTAAATTATTATGATCTTTCACTGTAAATGTGATCAAGACTATTTTGCTATATTTAGTATTCATTGTGTACCATTGTATTTAAAATAAAGCTTCACTAATTTTCAGAATATTTAATCTAAAGGTACCAATGTTGCCTGCTATCAATCAGTAACTCCCTTTTGCCAGGAAGTGCCTCAGCATGTAGCAGATTTCAGATATTTAAAACATTACAATTCAAACCAGACTTGGGCCAAAAAATACTACATCTGTCACTAGAAAACTTATTACAAATGACAATTATCTTTGTACCTTTGTAAGAAACAAGTTATTAGACAATCAAATTTTTTAAGTGTTTTATTTTCTGGTTGGAAAGGAAAAAAATATAAGGTCTGTACCACATTCTATGAATAAATGTAAGCAGATGTTTTATTTTCAGTTGATATTACACTTTTGTTTTGCGTACGGAAGAATACTTGAGACCGTGATATTAAGGGCAGCACTTGTTCCGACTGTTCCAAGTTGTGAGAAGAGGTGTGCTAGGGTAGTGAAACTTAATCTTTATTTAGTGTGTAAAGCATATTATATGTAGTTTTTTTTTTCATTTGGAGAAGCAGTATAAGTGAAGCACTTTGATCACTTTTTTTTTTTTTACTTTTTTATTTATTCATTTTATTTTTATTGCCTCCAGGGTTAAATTCTCAGTGCATCTTCTGGGGAAAATAGCAAGATGTCAGTGTTTTCTTTGGTTTATTGGCAAATCCAAAATATTAAACCTGTGAATTTTTATTTCATATTCATACATACATAGGGAGGTTCTGCTGGTTGCCGTGTGAGAGAATTAGACCCTGGTCATTGATTACAATTACGTGGGATGGGATGGGACCAAAATATGCAGAAGTGCCTCTATGGGATAATACAGGGTAATAACGTGGTTGGATACTGATACGTAGCATGTAAAGGTTAATCTTAAAACGCAAGTCTAATGTGATAAAACTTCCAATGGTAACTTAGAGGTGTTTTAAGCCATGGGAAAGGAGGACTGTGTGATAGCTAATGATATGGTTGTTAGGAATGTAGTTTAGTGTATTGATCTAGCGTTGTAGTGTTTCTTAAAGAAGTGTGAGGATCAGGCCTATAGCATAAGACTTATGTGATGGCAAACTTTCTCAATGATATTTTGAGGACAGACTTCAGTAAGACTTAATTTTTTGTTGCACTTACAAATAAGGAAATAAGTCTTATTGTAACATTTACTGTTGTAATCTCAATTTATCAGAATTAAGATGTTTACTTTGTATAAGAAGGTAATCATACCTGGAATAGGGTCTCTTGATGCTGTGGTTTCGAAAAAAAGGAAATTTTAAATATTTGAGGAACTGAATGGATATGGTATTAAAGTGTGTTTGTAGTGAATGACTGAATTATCTATTATCTTAAGTTACAAACTGAAGCAAGCTGTTAGAATTGCATACTTATTTTTCTGGGTAGGAAAAAAATAAAACAAAACATATAAAAAAAAAAATACATGGAAAGTAAACCAAACCTTTTTCATACATATTTTTTTCTATACATATATATATATATATATATATATATATATATATATATATATATATATATATATATATATATATATATAGTTTATCCTTGGGTAAGAGTGTAAACATTATATAGCAAACAGTAAACATGCCAACTGAGGCTAGAAACGGCTGAACACATCATTTAAGCGTTGGTTCTGTCTTAATGTCAGGGTGTTGTGCATTTACTCATGAACACAACCATCTCGTCACTACTCGGGCAGGCTAAGGCGGTGGCCACCCCACCTGCTTCCGTCTCGCTAGTTCTGACGAGAGGAGATATTTGTAAGTTATTTTCTAAGTGGCAACCTGACCCCTCTCTTCAACCCACCTAAAAGTCTGACCGGCTGTACAATGTATCCAAGAGTGTACATAATGTATATAAGAGGTTACTAAAGTTAATTTGGAGAAGCACAGGCTGGTTGCTTGATTTGACCTGCCTTATATTTTTGTTAACCTGGCAATGCTACCTACCACTGCTTCACCATGGTATACTATGTAATAATAATATGGGTCGACCATGTACATTTGATTTTTAATAAAACTTTTAAAATATTTTATTACTCTTTTTTTTTGGTTCATTTCCAACAAAGACATCATTGTACTACACACTTTAAAAAAAGGGGGAAAGACGAAAAACAAAGACACTACTGATTCTCTCATCATCTTTAGTGGTATACTCATACACAAATTAGTTCGGATACCTTCACACAGGCAAGAACTATTCAATCATAAACAATTCACCGTTCCTTTATTCTCAAAAACATTCACCATTATACAATATACGTCACCATTAACCTTCAACGACGTGTTTCAAACAGGCACGAGACATCAACAAAGGCCAACTGGTTGCGGTCCTCCAAACATGTTCTTCCATGAAAAAGGGGCCTTCCAAGATGGATTGGTTTCCTGAGTAAAAGAAATGGAGAAGAGGGGAAAAGTAAAAAGACTACTCTAACACACAAGCTCTAAATATGATAGATATTAGAAAAATGCCACCTTTCTGTTTATCTTATTTGAAAAGATAAAAAAACTGACCTGACAGCCAAGATCTAAAATAGATGTAAGAAAATGCATATCCTTATGTACATATACAAATAGATATGTTTTTCTCATTTTGTCTAGTAAATGCTACAAATATACTACCTGCCTTCAACAACTTTTAAATTCCACAAATAAAATAGTTACAATGACGAGAACAAACAGTCAGGAAGGAGGACAATGGAAGACAGGGAGGAGGAGCAAAACAAAAATTCTAAACTGCAAAAACTTTACCTTAAGGAGGTGCCTCCATGCGTTCAAGTACGTTGCAAGGGCATAGGCATCACTTCTGTTGTCTCCTTCATCAACAAACTTAATCAGAGTTGCTACAGGTAATTCACTGAAATGGTAAGTCAGTGTTAACTAGGGATTACCTTGTCTTGTTTTACTTCACAGGTGTGAAAACTTTGAATTACTTGCTATCCTTCTGTGTGTGTGTGTATATTTATATATATATATATAATATATATATATATATATATATATATATATATATATATATATATATATATATATAATATATATATATATATTTATATATATTATATATAGATGTATATATATATATATATAATATATATATATATATATATATATAAATATATATATATATATATATACAACAAACTAAAGAAAATATATTTCATATCTTATCCACTCAAATTATTTTTACATTTGATAAACATTTAATACTGAAATACTGGCTTAAAAAAAATATTACACTAAATACAAAAAATCTGCCTTAAGACAAAAAGCAATAACCTACCAGATATCCATAAAGGGCTGGACAAAACCAGCCCCTGACAAGAAACGTTGTTTTTTACCAAACTCATCCGTGCGTTCCTCAAGCTCAGCAGCTCCTACAGACCTTCAGAGAAAAAAGTATTGCATCAAAAAGATAATCACAGAGTTGGAATTACTTATGAGTCACTGTATCTCTGTTATCATTAATTCAATAACAGGAATCAGAATACCTCTTTCCATTTATTTCATGTCCAATGTCCCATACTAAATTACCTGTTTGGCATTTCTGTCAAATGCTTCTGAATTTCTGATACATTCTGACAACACAGTACACTAGCCAACACTATACACTATACTCCTATGTTAATTTCTTTGAAAAAACCTTATGACTGACTTTGTATGTATATAAAAGTAATCCTTGATTCTACTATATATAAATTACTTAGACCTACTATTAGTTTTTTGGATACAGAAAAAAGTAAATGCAGTCTATGTCAATCAAATATTACAAAATTATTTAAACAGTCCTGTAAACTTTATACAAATTACGATTTTAAATATTATACCTTGCCACTTTAATACTTAAAAAGGCAAAAATTACATAAAGACAAAGTATACAGAATGATTACAGAGAAAGCCATGAATATCTAGCAATCATTTAACAAAACAAACAAAAAAAAAACAGAAATTTAAACCACCAATAGTTATCTAATATCTCAACCACAAAATTTCTACCAGAAAGTCTAAATTAAACACCAGGATAGCATGTACAAACCTGCCATGCCCACTGTGAGTTTAGTTTATTGTCTTTACACATAGATGGCACCATTAATGAGTCAATTATCAATACTACCTTCTTTACTTGTTTACCCCTTTTCCTTGATTTTTGGAAATATATATTTTTTATCTTATATTGCTATTAATAATGTTAGTACAGTATTAATAACTATAATGCTTATAAGAATCATAACACCATTAATACTGATAGCATTAGAAAAAAATAAATGAACAAATGAAATTGCTGGAAACATTTTTTTTTTACACAAACTCCACACCGTACTACCACCTGCTTTGGGTGCCAAATACCTAACACATAAGCTTTCAATGACTTGTGGAAATACCAGCAATAAACTCTTTGGAATCTGATCACCATCCTTTGACTGATTGCACTTCCACTAAAGGTATAAACCTCCAAGACCTAAAAGTTATATATCACTCAAAGACATAGTAAAAATCATAATACAAGGAATATAAAAAGGACAAATGCAATTTTAACTATACCATTATCACCATTTGCTGTGAGAAGGAAAAGGAAGTCTATGGAAAAAGGTGAGGCTGAGAAAAATCCTAGCAGGCACCTTATTCTGCTTATCCCTATAAGCACCTCCTTGAATACCATTGTATTGCACTTATCTAAAAACCCAAGTTCTTTTCGGTTGTGTGTCCTTTTATGCAAATGAATGAAAAACACAAGACATATTTGGTCTGCTTGGGAGTAATATACCATAATAATAAAAAATATATATAAAAAGCAAAATGAAAGACAATGTTCCTGGATTAGACAATCTGGCCAAGGACGATTCTTATGAAATTCAACTGCATGTTCAAACTTACACCCACACCCACACAAATACATATTAAGACCATTAAGAACATTTAGTTATCTATATTTCCATGTAGAGAAGTAAAAAATAAATATACATTCAACTAGAAATTTATCTAATTAGTGGTAGTGTTCAGTCTATACACAAAACTCAAATAAAGTATATATCAAAAACACTCTTAAGCAAATTAAAACCTAGATTCTGAGCACATACAGTGGGAAAAAAATATTGACCACAAACCATCACAAAAAATTAAAATCAACAATGCAAATATGTTCAAAGTTCTATCAGTCTACAGAAGAAAAAAAAAATCACCCAACCAGAACATTACAAAACAAAAACAAAAACACAACACAACTAACCTTAGCATTTGCACACATGACTCAGAAACGTTGGATGTGTAATACCTAAGCTGTGTGCCTGAGATTTGACTGTCCCACCTCTCATATGCATTGCAAGA